TGCTATTAACAGCAACATTATTTATAATTGCCAAAATATGGAAGCATCCTAAGTGCACATCAATAGATGAGTGGATAAAGAAGATGCAGCATACATATGTAATGGAATACAACTCACCTGTAAGAAAGAAGGATATTTTGCCACTTGCAGTCCTTCACTTTTTTTTTCCACTTCAAAAACTAGAATTTTATAACATAAACATTTCCATTGCATCAAAAGCAACAAAATACCTAGAAATAAACTTAACCAAGGAGGTTACCTATACTCTAAAAACTGTAAAACATCGATGAAGGAAATTGAAGATACAAAGAAATAGAAGGATATCTTGTGCTCTTGGACTGGAAGAATCAACATTATCAAAATGGTTGTATTACCCAAAGCAATCTGCAGGACCAATGTAACTCCTGTCAAAATACTCACGACATTTTTCACAGAACTAGGACAAACAATTCCAAAATTTATATGGGACCATAACAGACCCCAGACTGCCAAAGCAGCCTTTTGTAGGTCTTTTTTTTTTTTTTTTTTGATCTTTCTTCTTTTTGTTCTCTTTTCTTATGGTTTGATGACTAGAGAAGTTCCTTTAACATTTGTTGTAAAGCTAGTTTGTTGGTGCTGAAATCTTTTAGCTTTTTTTTTTTTATCTGTGAAGATTTGATTTCTCCATCAAATCTGAACGAGAGCCTTGCTGGATAGAGTATTGTTGGTTGTAAGTTTTTTCCCTTTCATCACTCTTAATATATCGTGCCACTCCCTTCTGGCCTTAAGAGTTTCTGTTGAAAAATCAGTTAATAACCTTATTGGAGTTTCCTTGTATGTTATTTGTTGCTTTTCTCTTGCGTATGCCTTGTAATTTGTTGTTGTTGTTGTTGTTGGAAACTGGACGTTTTAATCTTCTAATGTGGTTTTTCTAGAGATCAGATTCTCACCGTTTCAATGATTTTACTTTTGTTGTTGTTGTTCCTTAGTTGTAGGGTGTCTCTGTGTTGGGGATCAGTGTAAGGTGTAAACTGAAGGTCTTCCCTGGTCTTTTCTGAGCCTGCACCTTTCTCTGGGCATACATGGTGTCTTTTTATTTTATTTATTTTTTGGAATGTTACACCTAATAGCTATCATAATATTTCTTCTTATGTTTCACAAAAAGCTGAAGAAAAACATGTTTCTTTTTTTCATATTCTTTTCCGTTATGGTTTATAGCAGGATATTGACTATAGTTCCCTCTGCTGCACAGTAGGACGTTGTTGTTTAACTAAATATATAGCAGTTTGTATCTGCTGATCCCAAACTCCTAATTTAGCCCTCCCCACCCCTTTCCCCTTTGGTAACAGTTTGTTTTCTATGTGAGTCTGTTTCTGTTTTATAAATAAGTTAATTTGTATCATATTTTAGATTCCACATATAAGTGATATCACATACTCTCTTTCTGACTTAGTATGATAAACTGGGTCCATCCATGTTGGTGTAAATAGCGTTATTTCATTCTTTTTTACGGCTTAGTATTATTCCACTGTACATATTGCGTGGGGTTTTCTGTGCTGCATCTCAGGACATGTGAGCCGCTGGACACCGAGCGCATCCGTGTGGCTCTGTGGAGCCCTGAAGGAGCCTCCCTCCCCCCAGCACCTCTCTCCCAGGTGGGACAGGAGCGGGTGGCCACAGCTGAATTCACTCCGGGTCTCTCTGGGCGGGTGGAGCCGACGCTTCAGCGGCACGAGCAGCGTGGAGAGGCGGGCCCAGCCTGGCCTGGAGCCGGGTAGCTGGGTAGGCGCCGGGCGGTGGATTCTGCTGCTCTGCTTTGGTGTTCCGGGCACATCCCAGGGCTGCAGCAGAGGCTGCAGGGCAAAGCCAGGGTCTAGGCTGCGTGGCTGGGAGAGGCCTGAGCAGATCCTCCCCCAACACCGGCTGCAGCACCAACCGGACGGCCTCAGGGTCCCCCGCCTGGCCTGTCCCCGGCTCGCGCCTCCGAGGGCTCCCTCTGGACCGCCTGCAGGATCACAGCTCAGCTTCCTGGCTCAGCGCCTTGTCCTCCCGGTAAGTCTCTGTTCCGTGGTCCAAATGACGCGTCTCATGAGCCTGAAATAAGGAGGTGTGTGCCTGAGACAGCCTGCACGCAGGAGGCCGCCTCCTTGGAGTTTCCCCTTCCCTCACTCAGCTGGCCTGTGAGCTCCTGCGGGGCAGGTAACCTTTCGCATGAGGCCTGCGGGGCTGGTGGGTTAATTACCTCATCACTGTGTTGTGTTCATGGCCCAGCAGCTTGTGTTTCTGTCTCTTGGACGCACACGGGAGGTACCCAGGCTGGAAGTTCCACTTGCCGCCTTTTGGAAAAACAAAGGTTTGCAGGCAGCAGGGCGTGGAGGCAGGTGAGGGACAAATGACCCCCCAGGCCTCTGCAGCCCTGACCTTCCCCAGGCCTAGACAGCTGTGTCCAGGCGTTGCAGGCTAATGCTGCTTTGAGGTTGGGGAATATGAGGGGAGCGCATTAAATGGGTCTCTGTGGGCTATGCTGTGAGGGTGCCCACTAGCCTGTCCTGGAGAAGGACCTCAGCCTGCCAGAGGACCTCGTACCTTACCAGAGATGCTTGGAATTTAGCAGGGAGTCGGGAACCAGCGCTTTGCGGAGGAGAACCTATCCCACAGAGCTAATCGAGATCCACAGGGAGGGTAGAGGACTCTCATAGTTGCAAGAGACAGAAACCTCACATCCTGGGACCTGCAGTAGTCCTTCAGACGGACCACAAAATGAGGGTCCTTAGCTTCCTGCAGGAAGGAATTCAAGAGAGAATCGGGGGGAGGGTATAGCTCAAGTGGTAGAGTGCAGGCTTAGGTGCATGAGGTCCTGGGGTCAATCCCCAGTACCTCCATTTAAATAAATAAACAAACAAACAAACAAACAAACAAACAAAAAACAAATAACCCCGCTACCAAAAATAAATAAATAAAATAAAGTTGTAATACTTAAAAAAGAAAAAAAAGAACAAACCAGAGAAAAGCAAAGGTATGTTTATTTAGAGGGATACACACTCCATACGCAGAAGGCGGACCATCTCACAAAGTGGGAGTGGCCTGGGCCATGGGGGTCATAGGTTTTTAGGGGCTAAGTAATTTCATATGCTAATGAATGGGAGGAATATTTTTGCTATTTCAGGAAAAGAAGGGGATTTTCCAGGCATTGGGTGACTGCCCACTTTTTAGCCTTTTATAATCTATCTCAGA